CTCTGGGAAACACTGTCAAAATGGGAAAATAATGTTGAAAACTAAGTCCAGTTCTCTTGCTAGGTAGCCAGCGGTACCAAAAGGGATTCCATTTTTGTTAATTAGGTTTTTTTCATTAAAATGCCTTTGCAAATTGACTCTAATCTGTGTGGTGGCATAGAGGAAAATCTTCCCCATTTGCTAGATATAGATATATGCAAGTGAACCATTGCTATGAGAGTAAAAACATCATAACCTGGCAAGATACAGCATAAGGATTCCTCTGAAAACAGGATTGAAAGACTCCCGTTCTCAGTGACTTCAGTGATAGCTTGTTTTCTTCCTTTCCATCCACTGATCAGATGATCCTTCTAGTAACACCTCCACCCACCTCTCAAAGCTGCTCACAATATTCAGGGTTTCAGTAGAAGTCTGTCTCCCATCCCAAGAGATTTTCTTGCTTGGTCCTGCCAGACATATCAGCAGCTGACCCGGCTCAGAGGTGTAGTTGGATTCAACTTGGCAGCCCACTGAGTTCAGGTCCTGACATTTGCAACATCTTCCAGCGTTCTTGAAAATTGCTGCTAGTTATCACAAAAGTCTGTGTGCTCTCTCCCAGCAAAACCCTCTATCAGCTCTGTCATACAGTTCTCATGCAGAGGAGGCATCAGCTACTGAGGCAGCTGAACACAGTAGTTGTGTAAAAATATACTTTACCTTTATAAGGTAAGAGCTCATTCCCTTTCTCCCCCTCTGAGCCCCAGAATTCAACTACAATGATGGATCATTTCTAGAGGAACTGTGAATAGTTGGCCCATGCAAGATGAATGCTCTTTGACAGCGTATTTCCATTTCATGAATGAATGATGCTTTCTGCTCTACAGTCTCTTCACAGGATTTGCTAATCAATATTCTAAGGCTACATAAGACTGGAGCTATAAATTCTTCAGTATTTCTCTACCTGATTTTGCAAGAGCCAGCAATATAAGAATTGTATTTTACTGTTATATATGCTGAATCTATTGGTTTATAGTAGGCTATGGCAATCACAGCTTCAGCAAAACCACAGTTGGTGTTTTAAGAGCCCAGTTGACCTAAGCACTAATTGTCTCAAATATTTTGAGGGTTGAAATGTCACGTACTGTTTTTCTGAGCAGAAATGAAGCTTTTCAAAAAACTGGAGAAAAATCTGAGTAATCTGCACCAGAACATTTAATCACTGATTAAGTCATTCCTATTTCATGGGGTGGTTTCTCCCAGGCCCCACTTGGAAGCTGAGGTTGATGGACTAATAGCCATCTGTAGCTGGTGCACACTGCAGAACTGGTATCCTCTGTATTCTTCCTTACGTGTTTCTCAAATTTATCCCCAGATATACCTACTGAAATAAAGAATTGTTTTACAGTATTGCAGAACTCTGGATCTAAAAGATTACAAGAAGGCAGCAGCATCTCTTTTACTCTGTGAGGTGCAGTTGTGAATGATAGGAGTGAACCTGCTTGTGTTTCTGAGCTCTAAAATTAGTTAATTCAATTGCAGTGCAGGACTCGTCTATTTGAAATGAACAGGAGTCTGTAAATGCCAGCTTACAGTCATTTTGCTGCTTTATTTCCTTGCACTTGCTGCACTTTTGCAGGGGGTTTGTGGAATAGGGAGGAAACATGAGGGAACTAAAAAGAGAAAGGGATATTCATTAAAAAAAGTAAAATGATAATTAATGGGTATTAAAGAGAAGCAGTCGGGGGCCTATAAAACCAATATCCCATCATTAAGGAAGGCAATTCAGTTATAGAATCAGTGCACAGGCAATTACATTCTTGTCAAGGGACCCTGAGGCTATTCATGGAAATATTTACCTGACACTCTGTGTGTGTTTGCTCCTTAAAAAAAGAATAAAAGTAGAACTTGAGCACAAAATCAAACTTTTAAAAGGACATGACAAATTTACATATACACATTATCAATTTAAGGGAACAATTTACATTTTTAACAATATCAAATAAAAACATATTTTTATCCTGAACTGTACTTTATTTTTCCACAGTGTAACTTTTAAGTGCTTGAGTCAAATATTCAGCTAGCATACAAAGAAAGCACTCATCACTTGTTTTGAGCTTCAGAGGTTTAAAAATGGCTTATTTCTGATATTTTAATCTTGGGACATATGTAGTTGTCATTGTAGGATGTGCAACTGCTTAGGAAATAGTTATAAAAATAACTTCAAAGAATAGAAACAGAGCACACTGATTTAGAAGTCTCATGAGTGCAGTGTTCTGGGTATACGTAGACAAAACGTTGATATTTATCATTCCAAGTTTTTTCCACATTCAGATAATTTGTCATTATCTGTATCCTGAGGAGGAATCAGGCTTCCAGACATCCAACTTGCACAGAAGAAACCCCCAAACAGTAACTGTTCTAGACTCACCAAAGTCTCAATTCAATCACAGCTCCCATAGAGCTCCTTCCCAACACTGTACCACAGACAGTGAGAGGTTTCCACTCAGAATATTTACAAATAACAGGAACTTTAACTAAGCAGAAAAATATAAGGCAAAAGTTTTCTTCTAAAAATTGTTCTGGCCTTTAGCTGTAATTATAGAAACATTTAGGCTGGAAAATACTTAAGATTGAGTCCAACCACTAACCCAGCACTGCCAAGTTCACCACTAAACCATGTCCCAAAGTGCCACATCTACATGTCTTGTAAAATTACCTCCAGAGCTGGTGACTCAAACACTTCCTTGGGCAGCCTGTTCCTTTTGGGCAGCTTGATAACCCTTTAGGTGAAGAATTTTTTTGCTAATATCCAGTCTAAACCTCCCCTGGTGCAACTTGAAGCCATTTCCTCTTGTCCTTTCACTTGTTCCTTGGGAAAAGAGACTGAGGCATCCACCAATAAATGGTCAGTTCTGTGGTATCTTTGATAGATATATAAATTAGCAAACTCAAAGTTTTTAGAGATACTTCAGTGAAGCTGGATATAAAAGTAGACATTGATGATACATATTGCAACCCTCACCAATTCAAGTAATTTAAAGCAAAGCCAGAAGACAAATGAATAAATGAACTCCTTAATGTGTAGTACTTCAGTACTCCTCAACTTTTTATTATTTCTTTTTCTAAAAATAATGATCTAGGACTCCTGTAGTACTTTTTTTTGCTCATGACTTTCAAAAGCATTTACGAATTAAGTGCACATACTGTAATGAAACAAAGAGGCAAATGATTGAAAGGAAAGGTTCAAAGCATATAGCACACTGGGCAAGAGGCAAGCAATGGAACTAGATATAAATCCTTGTCCAAGGCTCAATAATTTATCCATTTGCTGTTAACTTCTTATAAAACAGAGTGTTAAAATTTTTGGGCTCAGAACTAACACTTTTACCTTTATCAAAGGTTAAATAAAACTGCTGGCATTTAAAAGTATTTTTGGAGTCACCATCATGACAGAATTGGGCCTCAAAGGATTTTCTGAACTTTCTGAAGCCAAGTGGGAGCACAAATGGTACCAGGTGCTTTTAAGACACACTAGAACTTCTGAAAAGCAGTGAAGGTGGGCAGAAAGAAATGGGTTTGATAAGTAAACAGAGCAGTGCATTTATCATCTGTAGCAATGGGACCTGTGCTCTGTTGATCCCATGAACAAGACTGGGGAAGAACAAATGGATTCACCACTCCCTCACCCAGGTGGGCTTCAGCTGCCTCAGCGGTGTCCATAGACCAGAGACTCCAGCAAGCAGCTGCTCATACCTTGCTGCAGATTTGGCCCCAGGTATCTTGTTTCTTGGGTGGACACAGAGAAGAATTAGATACTTTATGTTGTACTTGTGCAAGTTGCATCAAGGATTATATCTGTATATTAAGAGCATTTCTGACCCTGTAACATATTTAGTGGCAACCAAATAACCAACCTTATAACTTACATGGAATATACAACTGTATTGCCGTGCCTCACAAGAGCATCTGCATTGTAATCACAGAGAAACATCACTGGCATTTGGAAAGGAAGAAAAGGATTTTCAATTCCAGATATGACATTATATTCAGAAATTCTTCAGTTAGCACCTGATCCTCTGAAATGCCACTTCTACAGAAGAGTCAGGTACCTTCCATGCAACTTGTTGTGGTCAGGGATTTCCCACTGCTCAGCCTTTAACTAAAGTCTTCAGCTGTGTATGGAAATACACTTATTTCCTTGTTATTTATATTCCACTCACAGCAGCTGTGGTGAGACTTGGTGCTTTAGGAACTATATTCTTCACTACTTCAGAGTCAGTAGATCAGGAAGATACATTTGACCTACTGGACATAAACATAGTTTGTTTTATTTGGGAAAAACAAACCAACCAACCAAAAGCAATATTTTGGCTGGAGTTCTAAAGAAAACGTCTGTAAAATATTTGTATGTGACTGTGCCTCTACTGTGTTATGGGCTGTGAGGGAATGGGATTTTGCAGGGAAAGGCAACATGTTGTAGGGCTCTCTAGTTACTAAATTAATTCTAAACAAAGAAAAGGTTTGTGCACCGGATCCAGCCAAATGTGTGTTAGAATTTGTACACAGATGACATAAAAATTCTAGAGATTTAAAAGGGCTAAGGGTTTGCTCATGTATAGCAATATATGTGCATCTTTCCATAGAATATTACTTTGATGCTATCCAGACACTAGAACTTTTATTTATTATTAGGAGGAAACAGGTCTTAGAGTGATAGTCTAATTCAGGTTGGAAGGGACCTCCATATGCCTCTAGCCCAGCCTCCTGCTCAAAAATAGGGTCAGCTGTAAGGCCAAACCAGGTTACTCAGGGCATTATCCAGTTGTGTCTAGAAAACCTCTAAAAACAGACAGTACAGCCTTTCTGGGCAACCAAGGTATTTTATTACATAACACATAAAAACCTCAGGGATAAGTAAATGCATTGAGTTAATTGAGTTGTGCTTGATTAATCAGAGAACAAAATGGTTAATTTGCATCCAAAAGTCCTAATGACTCTTTAATATGTTTATTCCCAACATTTTAGGTTTTTGGTTTTGTTGTTTGGTTTTTCTTTTTTTTTTGCATTACCAAAATAGAAAAGGAACAGCTATTCTTGTAGTCCTGTTAAATATCTTTTCTGTTTGTTTCTTCTCTGAAAGAAGGGGGGTGGGGGGAAGCAATTTCTGTGATTAATTAGTAGTAACTTTTAACGCAACAGAAATCTATTTAACACACAAAATGTTATGCCACTTTTTGAAAACATTGTAACCTGAGGGAAGCCTCAACCTATGTGTCTATCAGTTATGTTAAGCTGGAGATGGCAGAATTAGGTAAGAATGAACTGCTGCTGAACTCTTCAACAGACAGGTTCCTTTTCCTTTGATATTTACTATGGATGACTACTTTTTAAAATTACTTTTAAATCCTTTTTTTTTCCCTTCAAGACTATAATTGGGGACAATCCCATTACTTATTATGAAAAGTATGAATTTGATAGACATTGACTGACACTTCTGAAGGTGGTAAACACTGTCAGCAACCCACCTCTGTACAAAACATTCACCTGGCACTCAAATTCCCCCTATTGTCATTACTGTACGTGAAAAATACACAGAGTAGCCCCAAATGTTTGTTCCCAACAGTACTGCCAGTTAGGGATTCCATCAGGCCTAATGTTTTAATCATCTGTGCTATTTCTTGACTCTTCAACCTTTATTTTCACTGAGTTTCCAGGTAATTTCTGGATTAGGTAGGCATAGGTTCAGTAATCTCAAGGGAGGTGACCTTCAAAGTCTGAGAAAATGATGATCTAGTGATCCAAACTGTATCCTGAGAGACTTGCACTAAAAGAAATGGGAAATATGAAAGATCCCTGGGCTTATAATTTTTTTTTCTAATTTTTCCTGAATTTGAGCCTTGACCCATAAATAAGGTTGGTTATTTCAATGACTAGTTTTGGGGGATCTTGGGTCAAATTTTTTTTTTAAGTAGTATTTGTGATTTCTGTACTTTGCCACGAGTACAGAAAAAGTTCACCCCTTTGGGGTATAAATCATAGGTCAGAGTTATTCCCTGAGGGTACTTGTTCAGCACACAGGAAAAACAGGCATCTAGAAATGGTAGTGTGAATCCAGCACTGGTGACTAAAACCACAAACACAGTCCTTAAAAAAAGGGTAGCAATGTTAGTGCTTCCCTACAAACTGGAGGCAGTGCCTTCCTTCTTCCTTATTCTGCAAAGTTCAAACTGCATGAGCTACCTACCAGAGGGAGACAAGCAAAGGAGACACATTCAGTTTGCGTATCCTGAGAGGATTCATGTGCAAGTTCTGCAGACCTATGACATTCACAGAGGCAGAAACAGAACTCTCAAGCACAGGTAGAACTTTATACACTGGAGCTTAGCAAGTATCTGAGAATCAATAGGTGGGTTTGCAATTGGAAGGATCCACATAAAGTAGAAGCTTGTTAAGATTTACCTACCTAAATGCCTTAATCTTTTGGTTTCTCATCAGAAAAAAGGGCATGACAATCTCTCCTTAATGCATAAAAGCATTGACAGACTAAGTATAACAAAGGTTATGAAGCATTTAGATAATGGAACTCAGAGCTGAATGCCCATAAACCCAGGGGCCTGAGCTACCCAGGATCCAGGAGCCTGGAAGTCTCGGCTTCCTGGCACCTCATCCAGCAGTCTGCCCAGGAGCCAGCCAGCCAAGCCAGTAAGCAGTCGGGCCCACAAAAGCTGATTAAAGGTCTCCTGATTTCCATTATATATGGGGTAAACCAGACACATTCTTTAAAGAAGGATCAGATTTCATCAAACTGGCTTTTTTTGTTTGTTTGTTTACAGAAAAACATGTCATCAGGAATCTTTAATCACTTTTATTGTGAATTGCGTTGTTAAAACAACACATCCTGTTTCTCTGATGTGCCATGTGACAAAACCAAAGTAGTGTCTGATGGATTGACTAAAAGTCTCCCTTTAATTACCTACAGAAATTGCTGTTGATGTAAACAAATCAGTGTCAACCTTAGGGAATGCACGTTTATAGACACTTTGAAACTCTGCACACAAGCATTTATTGGTGATAAAACTGTGTGGCTTGGAGTCAGTCAAGAATCTGTAGTAACTCCTGTTATTCCACTACAGGTACTTATGCATAGCACAGCATGGAAGCACCTCACAGGCAGTCTTCCAGAGAACCCTCCCAGCAGAGCTGAGAGGAGGAGAGTGTCATTTGCCCTTTGTAGATCAGACACTGAGGCATAGGATGTAAAGCACAGCAAGCACAGGCTGTGTATGGTAGTCAGACTGAAAGCAAGGACTGGTCTAAAGAGTGCAAAAAGGCAACAGAAAGACAAGGTGAGTGTGTCTGCTCCAGTGGGAAGTGATTCAATAGGCACATATTTCCGTTCTCTAATCTTTGCTGGACACTTGAAATTGTTCCTCTCAGTAGAGCTGCAAGGGCCCCAACAGAACAGCTCCACACACTGTTTGCACCAAATCTGATGAAAGACACATCAGAATAGGTGGTCTCAGATAGGGCATCCCCACCAGAGACAAGATTAAGCCTTAGTTTTCTTAGTTCAGCTGTGCTGCTTTCTTTTAGAATTTACCTGGAGTGGCTGAGGTTTTTCAGGATTTCTAATATTCCTCCAAGTATTTGACATGTGTTTGCTTTCCAGATAGAGAATGTCCTTGTGGAATGAGAGTGTAAGTCTACTGAGAGATAAAAAGCTAGATCAAATAAAACATTTATGTGCCAAAAGGAAAGGCATTTTAGCTGCATCACCTTTATAAATAGTCTATCGGTGAAAGCACTCAGTGAGGAAGTGGGAGACCTCAGTATTAATTTCTTACTCAAGCAGACTAGGTCGAAAGCGATGCTGTGCTGAGTGTTCCGCTACAGAGCAAATAATTTGCAATGTTGGGTCAAAGGCACAGAGAACTAAAACATGAGAAGCATGTCCCCACAGTCTAGGGTTAGCCCCTCGATTAAGTATGCTGTACATCTTGGAACCGGCTCAGGTTATTAATTCTCTGATTCATGTCACCATCAAAAGACCTACTTCCAGTGGCCTGCTTTCTAATGTATTAGAGGAGACTTAACATGATGGAGGCAAATATGAATCCTCATCTTATTCCTGTTGTCAACAGGGTGAACAGCTTTCTCTGTCAGCAGACAGCTATCAGGAAAGAGCATCATGCAAAATGAATGACTGCTGTTGAGAAAAATGCTGAAACACAACTAATTGATTTCGATGGAGCAGGCAGCTACATTTGATTTGTGCCGTTTACATTCAGGACCTATAATAAACCATTTTTGTTAAGAGAGGTACATATAAACAAATGGAATTAAGTGTTGGTCTACTTTTCATTAGATTTTTCAGACAAGTGTAGTAAAGAAAATTGCTTTACAGCAGAATGCTATTTATTGAGAGAAAAGCTCTCTTTTTTCCTAGTGTAAACAGTATCATCAGTGTAGTCTATGAAAAATAAGCTTCTGCAATTCTCCATTGATTTCTGTTTTCCAAAAGAAAAAAAGGTGGTGGTGGAAGAAAGACTGGTATTGCAGTAAGATGTTAGATCAGGACTAAGACACCAGGTTTCCATACCTACTATTTTCCATGCCTCTCTGTCTTTTTTTTTTTCTGTAAGATACTGACAATCTTTCTTTACCTTATAAACCATTGTGAAGTTGAATTAAAAAATGTTTAGAATAGTGTAGTGAAGGACATGCCAGAGGAGAGAGAAACTACTTAAAATGTCTTCTGTCATATTCTAAGGGCTGCCTCTTCAAACAAAGGCAATGTACCAACTGTAGGTATTACCTTAATTCAGATCAAGCGTGGTAGTCACTGTGAGTTGAAGATACCCCACAGTAACAATTATTCACCCACTGGAGGACAGGGCATATGGTACAACCATCTGAACAAGACTCTCTGAGCAATTTGCCACTTTTTGCTTCCTTGAGAAGCAGTATTTCTACTGTTTCTATGTTTCTTACCTCCCTAAGACTTTCTTAGGAGTTCAAAGTGTTTGGGACCCACAAAATTAAAGTCAGCTCAGTTATCAGAATAGGATCCTGGGAAATTTCACAACACACCTGTGACTCTTCAAACTCCTGATTACTCCTTTTTCACATGTTTTAAGTGTCAGACTCTCCTATTTCTGCCCTGAAACAGAGATATGCAGGGTGTATAATATGAACTGATGCTTTTTGCTAAAACTAGACTATATTCAGTGTAGCATTATTGATGCTACATAGCCTTTGGGTCCAAGTGCCAAACTGCATTTTTGGCTCAATTTCAAGGACAAAGGACAAATTTAAGCTTGGCGTTGAACACTGAAGTGACCAATCCTCTATCTGCCCTCTCTTGTGTCATCTTTTGTATGGTCTAACTGACCCACACATCTGGAAGACAAATTAACATTTGCTATTGTGCAACAAAAAAAGGCAAATTCCTCCACTGTACTTGGCTGCAGTGCAAAGAAGGTGTGTAAATACTAATTCCCCCAGAGTTGTGGGTTGCCACTTCCTCATGCACTGTTCCCCCTCCAAATTAGAGCTTATTGCCTGAAGCATTTAGTTGCTTTCTGCTCACCAACCAGGTCACAATAAGCAACCACGAAAACAAACTCACAGATAGCATCTGGCCTTCCTCTTGCACAGCTTGTAGGTGTTCTCTCCTTCTTGAGAGTAGTCACAGTTTAAGGTCAAAACATTCTTCTGAAATACATGTTGTTACTCACATTTCCTGCAAAATCCTTACACTTCTCAGCTGCTGTTCTAACCAATGCCAACTTCCACAGACCAACAGTTTTCTTCTCTGAAAGACAGATGCAAGCAGGTAATGCTCTTCACACAGCTTATACTAAAAATATACAATAGGGTTTGTTCCTCTGGTTATATAGTCAGAAATACCTTAATCCACATCTTCTATGGGTTTGAACAGTAGAAAAAGTTAAGCGGAGAGGATTGTATTCCTTCTGTTCTCCTACATTTACGCACAAATGTTTGCTTAAATTCCTCAGGCACAGTTACTAAAAAAGAGGCAGTGTCTACGGAAGCTCCTAAAGTCCTTGCCCACACTGAGTAGTTTCTTCATTCACAAGTAAACTGAAGTTTCCTGGGATTACTCACAAAGGATAATACAGGCCAATCTGGGCAAAGCTGTATTTAGTCTTTCACTTCAGATCGGCTTCTCAGAAATCTCCAGTCCTCTTGCAGCAACATGATTCTTATGAACAGAGATCACACAGAACAACAAGGGCCTGCTTCTTAATTCAGACGCTGATTTAAAACTGTGATCCTGTCAAATCTCCTATATATGAGGCCCCTTCCATCTGCCTCAAGCCTTGAAGAGGCTAATTCTGCGTTTCTCACTCACGCAAAACTCCCACAGAGGCAGCTGAAGGACAGCAGCACTGAGTTCCCATCCCAGCTAAGTGACACTGTTCGATATTTCAATACCCAGCCAACAATGGCACTGTTCAGAAAATTGTTTTTGAAAATGAAACATTAACTTCTCACTTAAGACTGACAGAAAATTTTCTTCATGGTGAAATGAGCAAATGAAGAGTTAAGGATGAGGTACTTGTTAAAATCGATATGGCTTCACAGCAACATTTCATTCTTCCGCAACAGTAGAGAGTGTTTCAGCCAGCTCATCAGATGTGATCAAAGAAACAACTTGACGCATTTAAAACATAAAATATCTTCTCCCTTTTTTTTTTGAGCAAAAGCTGCATAGACTATTTTTTTCCTATGTATGCTATTAGCCAACTTACAGTTGAAACACAACCACAGTGTGAGTAGCAGAGCTGACAACTTTTTATGAAAAGTTAACACCACACAATATGTTACAAACAATTCCAGTCTTCAGCTATTACAAGTAATAAGAGAACACTGTAATTAAAAAAAATAAATCAGCCCCATTTTACTTGAAGCATATTCAGTCGTTACATTAAAAACAATTTTTATAGAAATCCTCTGTATTCACTAATCTAGGGGGAAATGCACTTAAAAGGGGTGTAAACTGCACATCTTTATTGATGAATATTACTTTTTATCTAGCTCAGAAGAAATAAGATCCTTTTGAACCACTGAATCAGATTAGAAAGATTGAAATTGTGTTGAGAAAAGAGATTAAAACCACAGAAAATGCCCTGTTTTCAAATATGCTGCTGCACATAGATATTCATTATCTGCATCAATCCCTTTTAAACTTTTGGAAGTGCAAAACAAAAACAGAAGTATCATTTCCTTTATGTTTATAATGACCACAGAATATTTTTATCGCAGAGAACTTACTTTTAAGGCACATCAGTCATTCCATTTATACTTTATGTCAATTAAAATCTGACTGTCAATTAAATTTCACCTCCAGATTCCCTAAATTCTACAAGGGAAAATAAAAAAAAAGGAAGGACTCTGTTTACAGGCCACAATCTCATTTCAAAAGCAGTGCAACAGTGAAACCACTGTGAGTCTGCAGACTGGGAAAACCCTCTAAACCAGCAGTAAGTGACAGAAGCAGACCTTCATCTTGGCAGAAATGGGCATCTCTAATGAAGCCATCAAGGAGCTCAGAGGTAGTAGCCAGGTACCATATGTTGCTTTGGTGATTATATAGTTTCTTCAGATTAAACAAACCTGAACTTTTTAGCTACATCGCTACCTACAAATAATACGAGCTTGTTTCAGCTCTTCTTGATGTAACTTTAAAAAGAATTCTCCATTTTGCAAAAGAGAAAATGGCTTGTAATTTCCTCCTCTCTGTTGCTATTTTTTCCTCTCATTTCTCTGCCTCAGGTACATATTTGTACCAAACCATTTGTTATTTAAACTATGCCCAAATCTTTTCACACTCTGAGCATTATTTCAAGAAAGTATCCAGGCAGTTATGCACTTAGGACTTTGAAAATGTCTCAGCTGTTTCTTTAGTGAAATCAAGCAAACTTCTAATGCATTTGGTGCAATCATCTAATACCTACTTCAGCAGAACTCTCACTTGAATATAAGTCTGTTGAATGAACACCAGAACTTCAGCCACTGACAATCTCCTCTTCCAGGGTTAAGTGAACTAAATTCTTATTATGAAAAACTGATGAAACAAAGTGACTGCTCTATCATTTCTCCTTATGACAGAGAGATTTCAAGAAAAGAGGCTACAGACACCTGTCAGAGAGAATGGAGGGAGTAAGGAAGGGGATATCTAATGATTCTCAGGTATAGATTCAATTTAGCTGTTTTAAGAAGCCTGTCATATGTGATTCGATTTCATTCTTTCAAAGAGCTGTTTGCTATGGAAAGGTTCATTTGAGGCAGATGCCAAATCCTGCTGCCAACGGAAGGAGCGATACACATAGAATGGAGCAGTATTTACCCCATAAACAGAACACACACCTTGCAGCAGCACAGCTAGGGAAGGGATGTAAATGCTCAGCTGAGTCTTACACTTGATATGCATCCAGTGATGAATATACAGACACCAGTCCCTGCCTCTCATTCTCTTCATTGCAGTTTATGACATTTTGTAAACCCCTGGGAAATATGGTTTGCTTTAATAACTATTCAAACTATACTCCCCTCTTCCTCCCTCCTCCCAACAAAATCCTCTGAAATCATAAACTAGAAATGTAAACAAGAGAAGAGAAAGCAAGCAACATTAATACTAAAGGTTTGGAACAGCTGCACCTTCTTTTGAGATTTGTTCACATACGACACTGACAATCTGTAATGTATGCTTCTTATTAAAAAATAAATATAAAGGATTTAGTTGTCCTAAGACTGTAAATACGAAGGATTTAAAGACCTTAGTGGTGTGGTGATTGCTCTTCCTCCTAAAATCTGCATAGCAGACTGCCTTCAACTGCCTGTCTGAGAATGAGAGCAGCACAAATCCAGCCCTGAGATTAGTCTTTTGAGGGGCACTGAAAAAGAGGGAGGGGACGGGGGGAAGTTCCCCAGGGCACACGCAAGTGAAAACTTTTTTCCTTTTATCTCAGAAAATGTTAGGCAAAGTCACCAAAATCACTTTTTTTTCACTATCTGCTCCAGAACAACAAGGTCCTGATCTGAGAGGGATGGAGTACTGCCTGGCGATCCATCAGGGGCAAATGAGGTCATGTGGTGTATGTGCTCTTTTTCATATTTCATGAAAAAATGCAAGACTCCTAGGTTTGTCCCACTGACTAATCAAAAACTACAGAAAGAGAGGAAAAATGTTTCCCATCCAGCTCTATAGACAAGACCTCTCCAAAGGAAAAGAAAACCCCATGCTTTCTGTTTGACTTCATCCCTCGTGCAAAATCATGATTCAGAAGGTTTTAACAGTACAAAGGTTTATTTAGAAAAGAGTTTGGATTGTTCTTTAGGGTTTTTTGGCAAACATTTAAATCCTTTCATAACTCAAAACACTGTCAGTGTCTGGTACTTTGCACTTTCCTTCCCCACACAAGCAGTGAAAGCCAATTTCTTACTGGGACAAATCCACCATAGGCCCAAACTGCTCTATTTATAAATACTGAAATCTCCACCATCACTGCCACTTAACCCTTTCCTCTTGAAGTCTGTCTTTGTTTTTCCACAAAACTCCAGAGCCCACAAAAGCTCACTGCCTCCCAGACTCAGTATCTTAGCCTATTTTCCTCTGCAGGCTCCCCATGCCCTCCATCAGGGCTCAAAGACAATCGCTCCCCTCCCCATTTACCCATCCAAACTCCAGCACTGCTCCTCCAGCACCATGCTGCCCTTCTGTACCACAGTGAATGCCCTCAGCCTCCCCAACACCATCCCTCTAACCCACAGCGTCACCCTGCTCCACCAAGGGGGCCAGCCCTCTTCCCTCTCTCTAAGCCCAAACCCCATGTTCTCTTCCCTCCCTTCTTCTCCAGCATAGAGCCTTCTCCTTCTCTTTTAACTCTATTCCTTCTCGAGGCAAATCCATCCCTCCAGCTCAGTGCCGGAAGTTCTTCTTCTTCTTCTTAAAAAGAATGTGTTTAAAGGACCTGCGGAAGTCCTGATTGAAGATGGTGTAGATGACTGGGTTGAGGGAGCTATTGCAATACCCAATCCAGAAGAAGAACTTGAAGAGAGTCTCAGGGACCTCACATGCCTCCCGGCAAATACCATAGAGGCTGTAGCTGAAGAAGAATGGGAACCAGCAAACTACAAAGACCCCCATGACCACAGCCAACACAAAAGTGAAGCGCTTCTCCCGGGCCTGGGCAACTTTCTTACGGCAGATGCTGCTACGCTTCCGGCGACGGCGATATGAGAAGAACTGCATGGAGCGATTGCTGGCGCGGGACAGGCGGCTACTGGAGTGCTTGGAGGAGTATGAGTAGGAGAAGGACTGGCTCTTGCTGCTCTTGCGGGGATGCTCCTCCCGGCTCCGCCTCCGCCTGCTTTCTGAGGTGCTGCTCTCCTCCAGCTCAATGTCCTCCAGCTCAGAGGCTTTGCGCCAGTGGTGAACTGAATAATGTCCATTCTCTCCCAACTGCATCCTCATGGACGTGCAGCCGCCAGCAGCGCGGCTCAAGCCATTCTCAGTCTGGGAGGACCCCTCTGGCATCGTACGCTTCTCAGAGAGGGTCCTGGTCCTTAGCTTGGCCACGCGGTAGATGCGGATATAGACCAACACCATGATGAGGCAGGGGGCAAAGAAAGAGCCTATGCAAGAAGAAAGGATGTACCATGTCTCATCAT